TCTTTCCCTCCTCAAATCAGAGGCAAGGGCAGGTCCCTCTCAGCTCTCTTAATACCTTTCTCTGATTCTCACATGATCTGCACCTTCAGTAATGGGCAGATTCCCAGGTAATGGCATGCACCTTAAGAGCTTCCATTCTGTCTGCAGGAGGGATGGCTCCTTGCAGTCCCTGATCAGAGACCTTCAGTCAGCACAATGGGTGAAAAGCTCAGCACTGTATTAAACTAAATGCTGACTTCAGAACCTTTCTTTAAAGGTCTCAAAGAAAGCAAGTAAGAATAAGAATGGCTGTCATTAGCTCCACACCTGATCACTGCCATAGCAGACACCTTAAGTGAAAGAAAAAGCCCACAAAAATCTGTATTCAAAAATCCACCTATCAGTAAATTCAATGGATAAGGTTGGTATAACACTGAAATTTAAGTTAAAGCAAATAAAAGTATCTCCTGAGGAAATACATACTCTCTTCTTGTACAGCCCATTAACAGTCCAGCTATTCTATTAAAAAAAGTGCTAATACAACCAATTACTGAAAAGCAATGTCACTTGGACTGCTTGTATGCTTCTCATTCCCTTACCAATTACTACAAAGAACAGGTTACAGAAAGATCTTCTAAAACTCAAATGCATTCATCTCTATGCACAAGAGACTTCTGGGAATAATAGATAAAAACATGATTTATTACACTGTACAAATCTAGATTCAAAACAAGCAAGTGCAGAATATAGTACATGATTTATTTCTTCTGTACATTACATATTATTTGTTAAATTTCATTGACAACCCCAAAACTTCCCTAATTTTTCTTCCTTTACCTGCCTACACCAAGCAATTAATTTTGTTCTACAGGACAGAAGAAAATAGCTTCCTGGAGAATTTGTCATCTGATTAACTTGGCAGAAGGTGCTTCAGCTCAGACTGATTTTCAGTGTTTCCCATAGCTTGTAAAGACTTGTCAGGTTAGAACCTCTGTTGGTAGTATAATGTCCTACCACTGTACCAGTCTGGAAACAAGCAACTCCATTCTCATTAAGTTTCAATAATGTCTTCTTCTTAGAAGATGAGTTAATGCAGTTGCATTTGTAGACATACCAAACAGTATAAGTGAAGGCTGTAGCTACCATCAAATAAAATCACTTTCCAGTAGCCCCAGACCCGTCGCTTGAGTTATATGGGATGTGCTGAGATAGATTCTATGTTTATGTTTAATAAAGTCCTTAAGAAAAATAAATACTTTTGCATAATGTATGTACAAAGATTGGTTCATTTCCTTCATTCATAGGTTCAACAACAGATATAACCACAGCTGTATTTTATTCACTAGCTCACAATGATTAATGCACCTTGGTAAGTGATGTATTAAGAGTCCAAGAGAATATCAGCCTATTCTTTGTAATAGTACAAATTATATGGAAGTGTTTTGAAAACAGTGGCTTGAAGAAGAATTAAAAAAAACCCACAAACCAACCCACAAATCACCCTCCTTTGGTCCCTGTAAGAGTAGTTTAACTCTTTGATGAAACTTTCAAAACTCCCCCACATAATTTTAACTATTAAGGCATCAAAAGAATGGATTTAAAGTTGAAATTAAAATGGTCTTTCTTGGACTTGAAAAGAAGTCCACTGCACATTTCCTGACAAAGAAATTTTCTTAATGTTGCTCCTTCTCCTCAGCTCTTTTCTGCACAAAAAAATACACCAAATAAACCTGTCTGATAATCTCCCCCATATTTTTTTTAAACTACAACAAAACATTACACTTAAATATATTGCACAAAAAGCATAACATATCCTGCCTGACTCTTCACAAAAATGGCCACAAACACAGGAGAACAGCTACTGAACATCTCAAAATTTGAAGAGATCAATGAAATGCTGAGGAGATACTGGCATGAGACAGGTGTTTGGATCACTGGCTGTGCAGGGGTGTCCTGTATCCTGCAAAATGAAGGAGAAAAAAAAAGTAAGTTCTCTTTCCATACTTAAAACCTCCCTCTACTCCCAATAAAAAAAAAAAGGTGAAAATTCACACATAGGCACATGTAACTACTTCCACTGTAAACAAACTACTAGGAACTTACTCTTTTTAAGAATTCACCGTATTTTTCTTTAACTGTTTGAGACTAAGTTGTTAAGAAAATACACCTTTCCAGTTTGACTGTGGTAATGCAGGGTAGCTTCAGATTTCAGGAAAAAAAAAAACCCAAACCCTCCCCCAAAACCCCTCCATCCAACCACTGTCCTACCAAACCCAGAACCTAAGTCAAAGCTCTTGAAAAAAGTTTCAGAGTCCTTATCTGTTATTTTTTGTTTGATAAGTGTAATTAAAAAAACCCCACAATTGCTTTGTTGAACCTAAGTTATCTGTTTAATAAAAATCTGAAATCAACTACTACTTCAGGGAGGAAAGTGAGCTCCTTGCTTGCAAAGTGAACAGCAGCAGACATTTCCCAAAGAAGTCCTAGTCATAAGAGTTTTTCTACCTTGCTTGTTTTTTATTCCCCCCCCCAACATCTTTTTCTCCTCTTTCACTCCTGCCTTTTCCCCAGCTGAAAGCATTGCCTTAAAACAGAAGTTGGGATCCAGGCAAGTTAGGAATATAGAAGACAGACAGGATGGAAAGGCTTTGTTGTTACACATTCACTAAGCCTGCAATGCTTTCTTTATTACAGAAACTTAAATAATCAGACAGTTGTGCTGAGGTCAAATTCAAATTCCTCTTCAAATGAGAAGTTCAGTTTTGCACCTTATTAGAATCCTCTAAAGGAAGGAAATGCTAGAGGTGTAATGAGACAGTTCAATGGAGAGGTTACACACTTTAATCAACAGTGTTGTAAGAGGCTCAGAAACTGTCCTCCCCAGGTTTGAAGGGGTTTCCCTCCTTTTTCCACCAGTGTTGATGAATTCACCATGTGGGGCAAGAAAACTAAATACATGGTAAGTAGATTACAAGCCACTGCAAGTCTTCATTTCTTTCACTTCCATAAGAAATGAAGCCCCATGCAATTCAGTTAATAGAAAGAAAAACCCTGTAAGTGAAATTTTTTCTTATGGAAGTTTCCAAGTGAGGAAAAAAAAAAACGCTGTCAAAGATGCCCCATTCCCCTCCAAATTGCACTAGGTGAAACACATTCTCAATACTAAGCTTTTCCAATGAAAATTGTTACTCTATAGATATATTATCTGTATTTTCCCATTAAGTCTATAGATGACTATCATGTGGTATCACCTCCTCATCCTCCCACTTTTTTTAACAATTGTTTTAACATCACCAGAGAACTGGTTGTTACATTCATGACACACAGGGGAAAAAAAAAAACAAAAAAGAACACACAAATTGATTAGACCCCAGGCAAAACTGCCTATTTGGGCAAAGCTGCAGATGAGAAAGAACAGAAGACTAAGACCAGAAGTGTTAAACCTAACACCTTCATCTTAAGATGACATCTGCAAGGAAGAGATACACCACAGCAGAAAACACTCTCAAAGGTAGTTGCTAATGAATTATCATCTTCTCTACCCATTGCCATGTCAATGTCATGTCATTAGTTTCCAGGAAAAAACCACCATCTGCATTAGGGTTCTGGGAAAGAAGCTAGGGGCTATCCCCTTTTAGTACTTATTTATACTCCTAAATGTTTTAGACAGAATTTGTAACAGCTATCTGCTTTGCTCTGCACTTCATTAAAATGCATTTGAAATCTCTGATCAGTCAAGAATTACAGGTCAAATAAAAAAAGTCATCTCAGTAATCAGTTCTTTGGGTTTCAGGTTATTAAAAACAAGAGAAACAGCAATTTTATAGTGAAAAAAGTAATGAGGACTGAGAAGAAGAATCATAACTTTTCTGTAATTATGAGTATTCCTCCTTCCAAAAAAAATTATTTCCCTTGAAATTACATATAATAAATACATTGAAAATCTATAGGATTTGCAGTATCTACTTCAAGCTAAAACAGAATTCTTTTAAATTAACATGAAAATTGACCAGGAAGAGTGTTTAGTGGCAAATTTAGTGGTTTTCCTCCTCAAATTTTATCATAACTGGACATTAAGAAGCTCCCATAACAACTCTGGAGCTACAGTCCTTTTCTGTATAATTATTTCCACCATTTCTTCATTCAAAAAGCAATATTATAGTTGCCTCCCCCCAGTCTCCCAGGTCATATGCAGCCTGTTTTGGGCATTTCTTTTCAGAGAGACTCTTTCAGAAAAGTATGTATTACTACAGCATTCCAAGTGGAGCAAAATCAATTTTAGTACCTTTGCATTAAAGAAAGTTATCTGAGGTTCATGTTACTCTCTTCAGATTTAAGTATTGAATTAAATACATTGGGGAGTGCAGAAACAGTTTATAACACTGAGTACAGGGAAACCTATTTCTTAGCAAAACCTGGCTGAGCTCACTGATACCATACACCTATGTTCATCAGAAGTTGAATTAGGGTCCCTAGTTTAAATGGCATTAACAGGGAATATGGCAATAATAAACAAATCTGATGAAAAACTGAGATGGAAAGTCATCACTGCTTTATCTAATAGGGAAACAAGAAACAAAATCAAAACAGAGTATCAAACAGTTAGAAATGAACATGTTATTCACTTCGACATTACAGAACAGTTAGCAATGAAAACAGATGAGACACACAGGAAATACCTTGAGTAACAGAGCAAGGTGGTAGTCCTTTGAGATCGTGAAGAAGGAAGCAGGAAGGAGAGCCGTAAAAGAAGCAGAATTAAGGTTTATTGAAGATAAGGTTCATGAGCCATTTAGAAAAATAGTCTTTTATTCTTGTGGCAAATCACAAGCAGCTGAAGAACCAAAACCAGCACAAGCCCCAAGATGACTAAAACCAAGTGTGAAGCATATCACTTATGCAAAACAATTATACTACTTTACATAAAGCCCTGGATATTGAAAGAAGAAAAAGTATTTCACCTTCTATGGCCATCTCTGGGATAACTGAAATGTGCTAACTGAGTTAGCTAAGAAAATAAAAGAATTGCCCACAACTGCAGTGTTGCATAGTGGAACAGAATAAATAGTAGACATAAAAAGCATTCACAGAGGCATCAGTCAATAATTAGTTTGCCATTACTTTTGCACTGCTGAAATTACATATTTTTCTCACTTTCATCATGGACAAATCCTTCACCAAAAAGTCACTTCTGAAAGATTAAAGAGTTTCTTACAATCGTTTCCTTCTTTAACACAGAAGAGTACAAGATGTTCTATTATATCACTGTATTTCCTACAACGAATTTAGGAGTTGGATGGACTCAATCTTAAAAGTGTTTTCCAACCTAAATGATTCTATGTTTGATTCCTTCTTATTGTATTAAACATTACTATGGTCACAGATTTTAAATTGATACAGGAATACAAATGCCACTTCCTGAAAAACTCTTAAAGACTTGTTAAAAGTAACACTAAGATTATTATAGCATACTGAGAAGTCACTTCCCTACTCAAACTGTTTGCTAATTCAATTTAGTAGCCATCAGTCCCTTCTTTTGCAAGGCCTTCTTTGAAAGTACACAAAATGCAGGACTGAAAGACTTTCCTGGGTCATCAAGTGCAGTCCTCTCATGTTGCCAGCAATTGCATTATATTATCAATTTCATAAAGTTATGAAAATTCTTCTCATCACTGGCTAGGCCTGTGCTTTGTGGCTATTTCAGAACCTTGCTGCTTTGGTTCTTAGAAAAACTCTTAACTCTCAGCATAAGTTTACCCACAACTAGTTTCTACAACTTATTTGCATCAAAGCTGTCCCTTAGCTTAAATAATTTCCCTAAGTAGTCTCATATTTATTCATCCCTTCTCTATCTCTGAGAAGAATTTATGGAGGACAGTCACATTTCTTTATTAGCTTTAACACAGTTAAGTTAAAAGAAATTAATGTCTGCTGGTCTTCTTCATGCCCTGATCACTGAAGTACTTTTTCCTCTGCAAGTAGTCCAATGTTTTGCTTTGTTCCTCAATGGGGGGGGCAGGGGGGTAGAACCCCAAAACAACCCACAACAAGGAAAGCTGCAAGTGTGATACCAAGAAGTGTTCAGCTCATTGCCTGAAGTTCTTCTGAATGCCCTTGAAAGCAAAAGCTGCCTGACTTTGGAAGTGTACCATTAGAAGAAGAAACTAAATTTGTACATATTATAAACTGTCTGAAGAATCCAGTGTTTCCATTTGTTTCAAGATTCAAACACTTGCTACTTTTCCTCTGTAAAGTAACTGTGATTTCTCTTTTAAAGTTTTTTGGTGTTTGTTTGGGTTTTTTTGCTATATGCCCAATGGAATTAGGCAGAGTAAAAGCTCCAGTTGACAACAGAAGATCCATGCATTATAGATACACTTATGTCAACCACTCATACATAAATTTAATTTAATAATCTGTCTAGTCAAGAATGATACTGAAGCTTGAATGAACTGTCAAAGCCTGATAAAAGTTCTTTTTTGGTTAAGAAATATTTTCACCTAGCACAGAGTTTTTCTAGAACTAATAAAGTACCTCCTGTCCCACTGCCCCCCACTTTATTTCTAATGCCTCTTTAGAAAGCTTGGGAAAGTATATGGATACAAGTACCTGAAAAAGCACAACTATTTTTCCCCCCATATAACTCAGTGACTAGCACTACTGTACTCACAGTGCCCTGTAAACAGAGGGCCTGTTTTTCAAACCAATGATTAACCTCTTAGTGTCCCTGCAATACGGGTGCCAGTTGTGCAGAAATCATTTTATCTAACAATCTATTTCAGCCTGCTCAAAGCAGGGTAAACTATGAGATCATCCTTTGTTTTCAAGACCTGACTGGATGAAGGTCAGAGCAACCTGGTGTGGAAACTGCACAACCTCTCTGGTCAAACCATTCCCTTGCTGGGCTGTCCTCATGGCAGGCTCTTAGGTTCCTCTGAAGCAGTTTTCTCCAGCCTCTCCTCACAGGGCCAGTCCTCAAGCCTCCCTGATTTTGTGGCTCTCACCTGCACTCCATCCAGTTTATCAGTATCTTTTTTTTTGTATTGGGGATCCCCAGCTGGCTGCAGTATCCCAGATGAGTGCCAAGCGAAAAGGGATAATCACTGTCTTCAACCTGCTGACCCTGCTGTTGTTAAAACAGCCAATCCCAAACACCTGGTACAGAATTTCAGTGCAGAAGCATGCAATTAATCTATAACCACACCATCACTTTAAGACCTGCCCAAATCTCCAGGATGAGGCAGTCAGCACTGGAATGGTGATCTAGTAGGTACTGCTCATCAATCCCAACAGCATACCTTTACAATTCACTGTGTTGTGTTTCACTAAAAAAATGTAAAACCACAAAATGAGTGCTATCATTCCAGTAGCAGATTGGAGTAGTCAAGGTAGCGAGGTATCTGCCTGCATGGGTTCACTGCCTCTGTCACACACGATCACCAACGTGAAACATTTAATTCCAAACACATTTTAGTCATTGCTATTATTAAACTTTCAATTATACCAAGATCAGAATGAGAGAAATTTACTGTAGAAAAGCATTAACCCTTTATACCAAGCCAGATAATCCAAACAAATCCGATACCAAAAATGCCCACCTGCATGCATGCTGTGTGCTTACCTTTAAAATTCCTGCTTTCAAAGAGAAAACTTTACCCTACATATTGAGCAATGTGATAAAGACTAATTCCACTGTAATGTCATTCCTGACACAGGTTCTTCAGCAAATGCCCAGGCTTTTCACAGCAGAAGCCAATCCCACCTACCTGCTTTCCTATTATTAATTTAGCAAAACATCCTAGTACCTTTAAGGGCTCCTGTGATATCAAGGATACTCAGCTTTAAAGTAACATCATTTAGTAACATGCTACTTTAACAGAATAAGTTCGCTTTCATACACAGCCTAGGTTTTTTCTATGGAAAATAAGAAAGCCTCACACTGACATGCAACACCTCTTAACATTGCAAAAAGACAACAGAAGAACAACTCATTTCTGTGATTTAGAATATGAGTATTTTCCAAGATCTCGCCAACATTTCATGCTCTTTGCTGTCTACTTAGTACCACCCATATCTGGTCTTTGAGCTGCAAAACTAGAGAAGTCTCACTAACTAGAAGGCTAGATTATGGTGCAACACAAAGTAAAAGCAGGACAATGTGTTCACACATGATTTAAAACATGAAAATGCCCTACAGAAATTAAAATAATCCTGTAAGACAATGTGCATCATTGTAAACATCAGAATCAACATCAAATGCATTTTGAATGAAGTTTCAAACACTTATCTAAGCTTCATATGGGACAGAAGTAAGACTATAAAAATACAGTTTTATACCAATGTGGTAGGAATGCTACAGTAATAAGTTCTCATTAGAGACATATTGATTGCCATGCCATCATTGGAAAAGGGATGTCAAAATGGCTAACTTCATACAAGTTCCTAATAACTTTGCATAAGATTAAAGAGATATAAGAAGTCACAGAGTGCAACTCCTTCCACATAGTGCTTTTCCTTGCAATTCTAAGTATTGAGGTTATCAGATACAGAGATAAGAATGCCAGATAGAGAACAACTTTGGAATTTAATACTGATTTTATATAGAAGTTTTATAGATTATTTAAAAGTAAGATACTAGTTGTCCAATCGCATTTCACATGAGAAAGCTGACAAGATGATCTTAATATTTTTATTTTTGGATGATCACCAATAGCTGTTTGAACTTATTTCTGATTATCTATTTCAAAGCTCTTACCTTCCAAAACAGAATACTACAGTGTCGACAGAAATGCAAGGTGTCCCCATACTGTTCCTTTATTGGATAATATTTCTGAAGTGCAAAGTACATCAGCTTCCAGTCAATGTGACCTTTCTCTGATGGAATCAAATGCCTACAAAACTGGACATAAAATTAATATCTTCCTTTAGAATTGTTAAAGAACTAGTCAAATCAGGTAAAGGACTGGAAAAAAAAAAAGAGGTAAACTGAAGTTTTGTAACTGGAATTCTTTGAAGTCAATCTGATGTCATACATCTCTGCAAAGCAGTGAGAGAGGTCTAGCCACAAAAAAAAAAGGCAAAACACTAAAAATAGGAGGGTGCATATTTGCCAAGAAAAAGTAGGCCATACACAGCTAATCTAACTCTGTCTTGAAATTATTTTAATTACAGTCAAGAACAATATAACAAAAACAATATTTAGAGCCATAAGTAATTAATTTTATACTTTTTAAAAAACCACTCAGGAATGAAATTAAAAAAGATTGTGCATTACAAATAGTGGCTTTCTGTTAAGACAGTAACTATGGATTTAAATAATGCTTTTTCTTTCATTTTGAAAGTATATACATGATTATTTTCCCATTTACTTATGATCTTTCTAGGACAAGCAATAATCAGTAACTGATGTTCTTGCTGAGGACATAACGTGCATGTAAAGATTAGCTGATACACAATGGCTATTTCTCCCTAGCTTAATACACAGCTAAAGTTTATTAAGTCTGCATTTGTAAAAGGCTTCTGTTCCACTCAGTGTGGATTAACACTAATACATTAAGGGCTTGCTTCATTCAGAAGACAACTTCTAGATGGGGAGAACAACATTGCCTTTGATTTCATCTACACTTCAATTCCTGACAGCCTCCCTTTGTAGAACTCTCGTTTTTTCCAAAAGTGCTCTTCAGATATCAAGTATGTTTTTGCGGTTGTTTCAATGGTTTGACAAATATACTGCAGAGAACAGGATTCTGTAGCTTATTACAGTAGTACGCTTTTAAAAAGAAAAAGCAGAATTTGATAAAGATAGAAATATAATTATTTTTTTTCCAGTAATAACCTAATAAGAAATCGAATGTGAACATTTAGGAACACATTGGAAACACTGTGTACAAGTGTCCTTTATAAGGCACAGGGCTAGCTAATTCTACTGAATTGCTCAAGTGATCTTTTTCCCAGCATTACCTTAGTACAACAGGTTCCTCTCCAACCAGTTTTGTCACTGTTCAATGGAGCTTACCTCATCTAGCCTCAAAATGCATTCAACTACTACATGAAGCTTAAACTCCTTATCCTCGTAACTTCACCTTGCATTCTTCTGAGCTGCTTCTGAAAGTAGGATTTTCAGTTTCATAGAACTATAGAATGGTTTGGGTTGGAAGGGACCTCAAAGATCATCCAGTTTCAACCCCCTGACATGGGGGGAAAACACACCCTCCACTAGACCAGGTTGCCCAAAGCCCCATCCAACCTGGCCTTGAACACTTCCAGGGAGGGGGCTTCCACAACTTCTCTGGGCAACCTGTGCCAGTGCCTCACCGCCCTCACAGAGAATTTAAAGTTTACCTTTGTCTATATTCTCCATTAAGTTAATTCTAAAGCCTTTCATCTCACCAAAATTCTTCTTATTATACTGCACATGAGTTAATTGATCTTCACTTTTACCTTTCCTGTTATAATAATACTTAATCTGGTAGTCACCCACTAAACAGTACCACTTCAACCTGTCAGATTCAAAAAAGCGTATTTTCACTTCCTCTGGTCCGGAATGTACTAGGTTTTTAAAGTTTTTCCTCCAGCTCTACTGAGCTAACTTCTATTTTCATAGCTTTATTTTCACCTCATCTGATTTTGTCCCAGCATGTATTACCGTCAGAAAACAAAGACGGTTCTGGAAGCATTCCTAGATTACTTTAATACTTTTTATGAGTAAGTGACAGAAAAGTACCATTTCTCTTTTTGTTCTGAATTTCCAAATCTCAAGCATTTGTTCTATTCTTTTTTGCAAAAATCCAATTTTGGCTTTACCAGGCTGTTGATATACCCTAGAAGTTTGAGCAATCTGTCTGCCTACCTTGGGTAGTAAAACAAGTTCTACCTTAGGTACTAAAGTTAGAAACAGCTTAGAGGTATCCTCTACCACACTTGTTGGTGATTGTGTCATTTAAAGAAAAAATAATCATCTTACAGTAGACTTGTTTTTAAAAATAATGCAAGGAAACAGCCTGATAAACTCTAAACTCACAAGCTGAATGTAATTTTTACTATGAACCAAGCCCCAAAAAAGAAGGAACATTTTCACCATGACTGCACACTGTAACATTTCTATCTCAAGTGAGTTCACACGTTACTATTAGTATAACACATTGCAAAGAGAAGGGCCACATTTATGCAATTGACAAGTAGTTTATTACCTGCTTTTCTGCAAAGTGATACTGGCAGAGTTTCTTCCACAACTGTCTGTCTTCACTGAGCATGTACAAAGTTGGGGTCACTTGACCCAGAGTAATAATGTCCCAGCCATCAGAGAACCTGTATAAGATGTTATTCAGCATATGCAGAGGGAGATCACTAAGCGTAAGACCGTTGTTGACATGCTGAAAATAAAAGTTGAAGACTTTTAACTACAAAAACTTGACAGTATAAGGTACAAACAAGATTCTTACTTCAGGGGTGTCTCAGATCTCAGTTTAGCTTTTATTACTCAAAACCATTGAGTAATATCTATTGTTAATTCTATGATACTTTGATTACTTGGCTATTTCTATTCTCAGAAAATAATTCAAGAGTATACAGTCTTGAAAACTAAGATATATTCAAGAATATATCTTAGAAGTGTGTTAAAACCCTAACTATAATAAAGGTATGAACCAATTATTTGTAATTTGTAGCATAACTACAGTTTCTCAATTTTTATTAAGAAACAGAGCACATGTTAATTTGCCTTAAGACAACTAGAGTACAGAATATAGGACTGAAGAGCAGAAATACAGAATTAAAACATTATGAAAGTCAGAGGCAGAAGAGTTCATTTCTAAAGTCTGGAGAAGGCTCCCCTCATATATAAATGAGGAATTCCGTAGGGGCTAACAGATCAGAGCACTGAGAAAGTTTTCATTGGAATATCCACCTCTGCTGAACTTTCTCTTTAAGGGGGTAACCTACAGCAGAACTCACACACACTGACTCTGGAGCCCATGCTGCCAGGTGGCACAAAGCCCAGGGCTGGAGG